GGGGGGGATGGGGATCAGTGTTCATGGATTGCCCTCCTGTCAGAGCGCTCAATGAACATCACCTATCGTACCCACAGCAATGCCCCTTCCCCCTCAACCTTTCTCATAGAGCGAGCCCCCACCGCCAGGGGGCACTTGCTGTCCTTACATCGGCCGGTGCAAAGACACAACTCTCCCCCAGAGCCTGGGCCACACTGGCTCCTTCTGACGTAGGTAGGTCCACAATCACGGCACTCGCCCCTTGCTGCACCAGCCTCTCGACAGTTGCCCGGCCAAGTCCAGAAGCCCCTCCCGTCACCAATCCGACCAAACCCTGCAAGGGTGGAAAGAAGCAAAGACAACCCAGTAAGAGCAGTAGAGACGGCAACTTGAAGCAGCAACTTTTGATAGTAAACCTGCTGAACTCAGACAGTGGGGTTTAACTCCTACCACCCCTACAGAACCTAGCGGGCTTGAATCTCTTCCCAGTGACCTGAAACTCTAATCCAAAGCATGTCACTACCAAAGAAGTTTATTCTGGCCTGCAGTCATTGTCATAGAAAAGGCAGTAACTGATGTACAACGACAGGATAGCAGTGATACAATCTCTACTGTATTCCTGATGTTGGCTGAGGGTTAGGCCAAGGGACACCTTAATCCTTCCCTGTTCTTCTTCCAGTAGGGGCTATTTCACGTCCAAACATAAGGACAGACGTGCAGTGACGGTCTCGAGCCTGTTACACAGGAACAGGAGGCCATTCAGCCCCCCGCTCCTCCTCGAGCCATTTTTGTTATTCATTTGTGGGATGCAGGCATAGCTGGCTGGCCAGCATTTCTTGCCCTGTCACTAGTTGCTCCTCGAAAAGGTGGTGGTGAGCTGCGTTTTTGAACCGCGACGGTCCTCCTGCGGTGCGTTGACCCACAATGGTATTAGGGAGGGAATTCCAAGATTTTGACCCAGCGACAGTGAAGGAGTGGCAATATATTTCCAAGTCAGGATGGTGAGTGGCTTGGAGAGGAACTTGCAGGTGGTGGTATTCCCATATATTTGTGCCCTTGTCCTTCTAGGTGGAAGTGGTTGTGGGTTTGGAAGGTGCTCTCCGAGGATCTTTTGTGAATTGCTGCAGTGCATCTTGTAGATAGTACACACTGCTGCGACTGAGTGTCTGTGGTGCAGGGAGTGGATACTTGTGGATGTGGTGCCAATCAAGCGGCTGCTTTGCCCTGAATGGTGTCAAGCTTTGAGGGTTATTGGAGCTGCATCCATCCAGGCAAGTCCCACAGGAACAGGAGGCCATTCAGCCCCCCTCCTCCCCGAGCCTGTCCCACAGGAACAGGAGGCCATTCAG